TAAAACCATCTTTAATCATAGATGACATGATTATCTATGTAGAAAATCCAAAAGAATTGACAAAAAAACTTCTCAAACTACTAAGCGATCATAGCAAGGTTGCACATACAAGGTTACTACATAAAAGGCAAACACTTTCCTATATACCAATAACGAACAAGTTAAAAATACAATACTATTTACATTAGCACTTACAAAAATGAAATATTTACGTGTAAATGTAACAACTATGTACAAGATCTACAGGAGGAAAACAACAAAACACTAATGAGCAAAATCAAAGAACTAAATAAATGGAGAGAGACTTAATGTTCACCGATAAGAAGGTTCAATATTGTCAAGATATCAGTTCTTCCCAACTTGATCTATAGATTCAATGCAGTTCCAATCAAAATCTCAGCAAATTATTTTATTGATATCGACAGATTTTAAAGTTTACATGCAGAGGCAAAAAATCCTCAATATCTAATTAAATATTGAAGGAAAAGAACAAAGTTGGAGGAATGACCCACTACCCAACTTCAATACTTAGTATAAAGCTATCGTAGTCAAGACAGTGCAGTATTATCGAAAGAATGGAAAGATAGAACAATGGAACAGAATAGAGAACCCAGAAATAGACAGACATGAGTATAGTTAACTGATCTTTGACAATGGAGCAAAGATATACTTTCAACAAATGGTGCTGAACAACTGGACATCCACATGTAAAAAAATCAGTCTAGATATGGACTTTACGCCATCAGAAGAATTCAAATAGATCTATGACCTAAATATAAAACACAAAACTATAAAACTCCTAGAATATAACCTAGGAGAAAACCTAGATGACCTTAGGTATGATGATGACTTCTAGATTATGCTTTTCAAAAGCATAATCCAAGAAGGAAATATTTTATAACCTGGACCTCATTAAAATTAAAGACACATGCTCTGCAAAAGGCAATGTCAAATGAATGAGAAGAAAAATCACAGACAAGGAGAAACTATTCTCAAAAGAGATTTGATAAAAGACTTATTAAAATACACAAAGAACTCAAAACTCAACAAGAAAATGAACCACCAGATTAAAAAAAATGGATCAAAAACTTTAAGACACTTCACCAAAGATATACAAATGTCAAATAAGCATATGAAAGTTGCTCCTCATTATATGTCATCAGGGAAATGCAAATTAAAACAACAAGATGACATTACACAGCTATTTGAATGGCCAAAATCTTGAACACTGACAACACCAACTGCTGGTGAGCATGTGGAGCAACAGGAACTCTCATTTATTGCTGGTAGGAATGCAAAATGGTACAGCCACTTTGGAAGACAGTTTGGAAATTTCTTATAAAACTAAACATCTTTTACCATAAGATCCAGTAATTGCCCTCCTTGGTATTTACCCAAAGGTGCTGAATACTTATTTCCACACAAAAGCCAACACATGGATGTTTATAGCAGCTTTATTCATAATCCCCAAAACTTGGGAGAAACCAAGATGTCCTTCACTAGGTGAATGAATACACTGTGATACAACTAGACAATGGAATATTACTCAGCACTAAAAATAAATTAGTTAGCAAGCCATGAAAAGACATGGTATAACCTTAAATGCATATTACCAAGTGAAAGAAGTCAATCTGAAAAGGCTACATACTGAATGACTCCAGCTATATGACATTCTGGCAAAAGCAAAACTATGGAGATACTAAAAAGATCAGTGGTTGCAGGGTGTGAGGTGAGGGAAGATAAATAGGCAGAATTTTTAGGGCCACTATAACAATGTATACATGTCATTATACTTTGTCCAAACCCATAGACTATACAACACCAGGAGTGAACTCTAAGGTAAACCTGGACTTTGGGTGATTATGATATGTCAATTTAGGTTCATCAGTTGTAACAAATGTACCTCTCTGGTGGAGGAATTCTGACAACAGAGAAAGCTATGCATGCGTTGGTATATATGGGGGTATATTGGAAATCTCTGTACTTTCTTCTCAATTTTGCTGTGAACCTTAAACTGCTCTAAAAAACAAAGTCTTTTAAAAAAATAACTAAAGGAGAAAGGAAAACAGAAGTTCAGGGTGAGGGTTCCTTCAACAGGACACAATGGGAAAAAAATAGTGAAGAAATAAGTTGAGAACAGGCTAGCTGAGTAAATAAATTGAAATAAAGGAAACAGTAGAAAGATTTTTGCTTTACACTGCTTTTCAGCAAGAGTAGGAGGAGGAACAGTGGTTAAACAGAGAGAGGAAGCACAAGGAATGGAAAAGATCAGAGCCCTAGCATGAGCTGGCCAAGCCACACACCACGAACTCCATGGTCCATAATCCAGGATCCTCTTTATTTGGCTTCAGCTTCTTCTTATGAAGAAGGGGAAAAAAATTGAATTTAAAGGAAAAAAATTTTAATGTGCTTCTCTATAACTTCCACACAACAGTCATAGTTATGCCTATGGTAACAGAAACAACTTAATTGGCATTAACTGTAAACAGGCACAAGGCATCTTACTGGGGTGATGGAAATGTTATAAACCTGGACTATGATGATGACTGCATGACTTAGTAAATTTACTAAAAATCATTAAATTGTTTGCTTATGATAGGTGAAGTTAATGGTAGATAAAGTATACCGCAAGAAAGTTCTATTAAAAAAATCTACCTCACTCTTCTTTACGACATTTCTTCAGGTACTTTCTACTCTCCCGCCCTAGAAAAAAAGCCCATATGCCTCCACAGAATATCACTTTTCAACTTACTATAGTTCAATTTGTATGATGTCCCTTTTAAAACGTGGAATCCAAAATTATACACATCATTTCCATTGTGCTTTACTTGTACAGAATTGATGGGTTTACCACTTAGCTGTATTGGCATGTTTTATTCTGGTTACTTTAGCTTACGACTGTTTAAACGACCATATCACAGTTTGATTATATTAAACATAAACGTAAAGAAAATCCCAATGCTTTTTCACCCCCTACAATCAAAAGCCAAGGAAATTTACTCCCACTCACATAGTATACATTTTTTTCATTTTTTACTTAAAATTAGTAACAGTGAAAATTTGAGAAAAAACAGAAAAGAGGGAAGAACAAAAACTATAGCTGACAATGTGATATATTTACTTCTAGTACATTTTATGTGAGTAATGTAATCATATCAGGAAAAAATAATATCTATCTCTATGGCCATACTTCCCAGGTCCAAGAAATGATATATTCAATGCTCTGTGTGATAGAGTCTATCACATCACCCTGTTTTAGTGCCCTCACAGTTCTTATCACCATCTACAATTTTCTTATTTGATTACTTTGTCATTATTTACTTTACCTCATTAGTATGTACAATCCCTCAGCTTATAGACTCTATTGACCTTTCTTCCCTTGAGACCTCACCTAGTTCCAAAGTTTAAAATTAACTCCATCTGTATGCTGACAGCTCCCAAAATTCTCTCTCTAGCCCAGACCTCGCTCATGAACTCCAGACTCCTATGTATAATGCACACAGACACATCACACACAAATTTCCATTACAACACTGCATACATATACATGTTTATCCTACACGTCCAAAACCAAATTCTGGACTCTCCCTACTACCCCACCAACATTCCCCATCTAGAGCCTTTTCCATCTCAATTGATGACCACTCTATCCTTCAGGCAGTCATCCTTGATTCCTCTTTCCCTCACATTCCACAGCCATTCCATTAGCAAATCATATTGACTGTGCCTTCAAAACTACATCCAGAATCTAATCAACTTGACATCATCCTCACTGTAAGCATCCTGGCCAAGCCTTCATCAGCTCTCACCTCATTACTGCAGTACCCTCCAAACAAGTCTCCCTGCTTCTTCTATCCTTGCCCCAGCCTCGACTACAGTCTGTCTTCACATTTCTAAGTGATCCTTTTAAACATAGGGCAAGTCACATCAAAACCCTGCAATGGCTTCGCTTCCCTCGATAAAAACAAAATCCTTTCTTTGGGCCTTTGTCAACTCTCTGATCCTCTCTCTTGCTACTCTCCCTTTTGCTCACCCTCACCTCACTTAACTCTTCTGTATTTTCTAAATGTTCTTAATGAGAATGTTTTGTTTTTATGAACAAAAAAAACTTTTAAGTGACAACTATGAAACAGCAATCTCTCTTTTTACTCAAATGTTTCCTCTGTAAGTACAGAATAAGATAACTATGTCAAATCTTTAGAAGAAAAACATTTCAAGTTAAGTTCATGGCAAGAGCTTGTAGGGTCTTAAATGCCTATGTTCCTGATGAAGACCTCAATGAAGACAGACTTCCCAAATAACTCAAACTGTATGGTGTGCCAGAATGATTTCTGGGTTTGGGGTTGAAATATCTTGCTTAAATCTTCTCTACTACATCCCAATTGTGAGACTTTGACAAAGTCACTATTCTGATTCATAGCTTTTTTATGTATAAAGATTAACAGACTAATCTGTAAAACTCACTATAAACTTGGTGCGTTACAAAAGAAATACCCATAGATACCTACCAAAAACTCATCTAATAAAGCTGACTTATTCCTGGGAATGTTACTGAAAGTTCTAGATTAATCTGTATATACAAAAGGACGCCAGAGAAGCAACTAAAACATCACACAATGTTAAGGGCCTGGTTGCAGACTGACTTTTATACAACTTCCAAAAGACTATAAGTGAGCTCAAAACCGAGAGGGGTGGAGGGACTCATTCTCTAGGAACTGAAAGGGCAAAGAGGCCACAAACAGAAGGTTCTTGAAGAGGGCAGAGATTTTAAATGTTCAGACTGTGTATCTGGATCCGGGTCGGGCACAGGGCATCAAAAGACGACGCCCGGGGAGAGGTTAATCGTCAAGAGGTCCTTGGGAACCGCTCCCGGATGAAACCAACCACGAGCGCGAAAGGACAAATCGCCTTCCGGAGAGAGAAAGCTGAAAGCAGGCTGTAGTTCCGTCTTCTCGGCGGGTCAGTTCTAGCAATTTCGTCGCCCACCCTGAACCACTCACCGGGTCAACCGGGCTGCAAGGCCTTATGAGTTGGGAACAAGCGGCCCAGTCCCCGCACAGTCTGACAAATCGCTAGGTAGCCATCTGCTCTGGAGACCGTTGCCAGAGAAACGGAGCAAAACTCTGGGCTCACCCCACCAAGGCTTTCCCTGGGCAGCCCCAAGAGCTTCGGGGGCGTGGCTACGTGCGTGACGCACGCAGGGGGCGGGTCAGAGGCGAACCCGGAAGGAGGGACGGGTTACATTCCAGGGCGCACGCGTGCTGGGCCGGGCGGCGGGATACCTGGAAGGCCAGAGGTGGAGTTATGGCTGCTGCAAGTGTCGCTCCTGGCGTAGCTCTGCGAGAGGCCACGCAGCGAAGGCTGCAGAGGTTTTCAGAGCTGAGAGGTACAGAATGAGGAGCCCCAGCTCTCCGGCCGCCGGCCAGGAGGGCGCTTTATGCGCTGGGAAACTGGCTGGACTCTCGCTTCCTGTCTGTGTCTCACCTGCGGACCTGGGGCGCTGGCCCAGGCATAGCTAGTAATTCCTCCTGAATTTTTTATTCTCTCTCACTGTCCTCTCTTTACATTATGCTCGTTACTTTTCTTTAACTTTATTCCTAGTAACATATATATATATATATATATATATATATATATCTCACAGTAAAATAAGGAAGAAGAAAAAATTAACTTGACCAATGAAGCTATAAACGTAGTTATGCATTTGGCGAGCTTATTAACAAAAGCTGTTTTAAATAAGTCTAAAAGATCTAAAGCATAGTGTTTTCACCTTACAAATCTGATTTTAGCCCTCTTCCACCCCCAGCCTGCTTCACTGGTTTGTTCCATAATGTGAACGCTTACTGAGTAAAAAACAAAACAAACCATGGAAGAGTCAGGGATTAAAAATTAAAAGGGGGAAGTTTTTATCAAAATGTTTTTTTTTTAAAAAAAAAGGCCATGCCACTTGTCATTCTCTATACAATTGTCTAATAAAATGTTAGATTTTTTATGACGTTACTGCTTTAAAAGTACAGAAAATAATACATGAGTGACAGAGAAATGTTTAGGACTTAAATTCCAGATGACAAGTCCTGTTTGTTAACCAATAAAAACCCTTACGCATCTTGTGTATCAGTCAAGAAGAGCTTCCAACTGTCTGCCGAAAGTTCAGCTTGTCTTTTTATGACTTCATCAGGGAGTTGGGAACTTTTCTGTTATCCAGAATTTTATACCGTACTCCAATACTCTGTAAACTTGCAGGGCTCATCTTAACGTAATAAAAAATAAAGTACCCACATTTATAAACAGCAACATTGTAGGAATGGATCCTTGATTTGAGTCTTTCTTAGCCGAGAAACACTAAGTGGTCCTGATACATGAAAATTGATTTTCAGAGCTGAAGGTTCATTTATTCCTTGGTCTCCTTATTTAAGAATTGAAGTAATAATCTCTAGCCAGTCGAAAGTACTTCTGTTAATGAAGGAACATGATATCTTTCAGAATGTATAAATAAATGGGATGGTAGACCATAAAAGAAGCAAGAAATCTTAAAAAAAAAATAGAATTTGTGAACAATCCTCATTAGAACTTTTGAATCATACAGCTGGCCACTATTCATTCTCTAATTTTCAAAAACAGAAGATACATTTAAGAAGGTGGTAATATTGCCTCTTTTTTTCCTTCTTTCCAAATAGGTAAACCTGTAACAGCTAGAGAATTATAATGATACCTATCATTTCTTTGCTTTTCCCACATAGGCAAACCTGTGGCAGCTGGAGAATTCTGGGACATTGTTGCAATAACAGCAGCTGATGAAAAACAGGAACTTGCCTATAAGCAACAGCTGTCAGAAAAGCTGAAAAAAAAGGAGTTACCTCTTGGAGTTCAATATCATGTTTTTGTTGATCCTCCTGGAGCCAAAATTGGTATGCATTTATGTTTAGATTTATACCATCGGTTTTGGGCAGAATAATCATCGAAGAAAAGCTTTCCTTTGGTTTACAGTTTATAAGCTGTGCATCTTTCCACCCATAATCATTACAGACTTTAAAATTTTAATATAAATTCACTATTTTTTCAGAAAGATAAAAGGGATAGCAACTGTTCTTACACATTGTGACTTACCATGAAGAATATTATGTTATTTATAAGAGAATTTTATTAGTTTTAATAAAATTTACTCAGATGGTGAGTATTCCTTTGGACCTTATCAGTAGGGCTCCTAAGATCCCTTCTCACACCGCAGTTTCTGGAGAAATTTACATGAAGAATACAAATCAAGACAAAACATATACTTGGCCTCTTGGGACCACAATGCAGAATTCGAAAGACCGCAGTCTAATGGCTTAAGTATCATAGATATTTACTTTAGAATTTTAGTTTAGGGCAACTTTGCCTTTTGACCTTCCATTACAAATAAAAATACATGTTCCTTTTCTGGAGGCCATTTTCCATGTGATGCTTAAACCTGAAACCCCTTGATCCCAGAGATAGGGTGTATATATATGTATATGACACTGGCATTGTTATAATTAGCTAACGTTGTTTTAATCCTTATAACTATGTAGTCAATATGTTAATTATTCTTAATATATAGAAGAGAATTTGAGACACAGAAAGTTAAATAACTTGCCCACAGTAACTGGTAAGTGGTAGTTACATTGAAGAAGTTTTTTAGGAAACTAGGTTTTGAAAACTTATTAGAAAGGAAATCTAATTTGCGTATTTGATTATGTCATGGGAGAAATATTTAAATGGCTTTTGCAATTTCTAACTCAAGTGAATGTGCATTTTTATAGTCTTCTAGTGTTGCAGATTGCCTAATTTATCATTTCTTCTGTTTTTTTTAGTACTGTTTCAGAAGATGATTAGCCGATCATTTATTACCAAGGGCTGATTTCTGGGTTTCATTACTAGTTTTTATTTATTTATTTAATTGCTCTGAAATGTGTATTTAGTTTAATTCTTTTGCCATGCCTTTGCTCTCTGCCTAGTTAATTGTAACCAAAAGCCATATCCTCAAAGTTGTGACCTGAATTTACCGTAACTACAAAGTTTTAATAGATTTCTATGAAATAAATTTTGTTTTTTATCTTCATTTTTAAGGAAATGGAGGATCGACACTTTGTGCCCTTCGATGTTTGGAAAAGCTGTATGGAGATAAATGGAATTCTTTTACCATCCTGTTAATTCACTCTGGTAAAGTTATACTTTACTAATTTACATTTTTTTTTTCAGTATTTTACCTTTAATATCTTAGGAACTTTTTTCTCCCTTGCAAATACTTTCCCCTGTCTTTTATTTATTTATTTATTTATTGGTCTTTGAACTTATTCTGCTTTGAAAACAAATATTTCATGCTTTTCTTGATAATTTTAGTTGTAAGCAGCATAATGTTTTTCACAAAATTTATCCTTAAAGTTGTAGATCACATACATCATCAACTTTTCATGGATATTGTTTTTAGTATGTATATAGAAAATTATTTTGCTAAGACAGAGCTCATCAAAATATGAACATTTCTTGGTAGTGCTTTAGAAGGGAGTCTTACTGTAGAGGAGAGGCTGGGTTAGTGCTATAATTACCAGACTTTTGCAAAAACCTTCTATCATGAATTTTTATCTGATTATTGGTGGCCAAAGTCTGTAATCCTTAAAAGAGTTTAAAAACAGAAAAAAGGTGGTGACAAAACATAGAGTTGACAAGAAAATGTGTAAGAGGAAAAATCACCCAAAGAAAAGAGGACATTTTAAAGCAGAAAAGTAAGAAAGAATCTCAGAATGAAGGATAGTTTTTTAAATTGGATAAATTTAGGTGAATGAAAATTTCGGTTGTATAAAAACCTGTGTTATTTTTCTTTGTGTACTGGGGGCTGGTGAAAACATTGTCATGGACTGGTACCAGCCCAGGACAGGTTATTTTAGAACCACTCATCTACATGGCTTCCAAAGCACCTTCCATTTCTTATGATTCACATACAGAACAATGATTCTTTGTAAAGATGATATCAAGTAAAGCATCCAGGTTCTGATTTTAAGACTAACTAAAAGAGTAAAAAATTCTAATTTATAGTTTTATTCCAGAACAAGTAGTCATAGTATTACCAATTCAGTAAATTTAAATTAGACACCAGAAAAAAATGTAGTTAGAAATAGGTAGTTCTCATAATGCTAACCTTTACTATTGGCTAGTCTTTGGAAAAGGAAGAAGTAGAAAATAACTATTAGCTTTCATCTGTTGAACAATATACTATGTGCCTAGTGCTTTACATATATAGTTGATCTCATAAAACATGATAAAGCAAAGTATTATTCCAGATTTGTTGATTTGGAGTAAATCCAAAGATAAACAACTAAAAAGTGGTGAACCAGAGTTTGAACCCATTTTTGTCTGACTCTTTCTATGCTGCCTCTCACTATAATTAGTTACATAAAAATGATGTAAGCTATTTAATGTATTTAAGAGAACACACTTTTCAAGGAATTAAGTCATAAGGCTCATCCTAGAAAAAGCCTGTTTAAATTTTAAAAAAGTATAAATTTTAAAATACTTTTAAATAAAATATCTTTACTTCCTTTAAGTGTGTGTAATAATTTGAGGAAAGACACTACATCTGGAAATTACTGTTTAATAGATAATTTTGGAATTGGTATGTTAGTTATTTATGAATTTTCTTTCCCCTGGGAAGTGGATTCTTAGTAGAGGAAAACTGCATCCAATAACATGGTTGACATTTATTGTGTAAAATGTAGATATGAGATCATGTTTAGCCCATGGTCCTTTTTACTAGTTATGCAGTTGATTCAAAACAATTCACAGGCTCTAAGGTATGTTAGAATTCTTTTCTAAGCGAGAATCTTTAAAACTGCATTATATGAAATGGCTACAGGAGAATTGCTCTTTGAATTTGTACTCTGGAATTTATTATTTTTTCCTGAGTTATAGTAATGCATTGTATATATTAAATAGCTTTAGAGACATTTTGAGTTATAACTGATGCCCCTGGGTTTTTAAATCTTGTAAACAATCTTACAAGCATTTCAAAACAGTTATTTTGTTTAATTTCATAGGTGGCTACAGTCAACGCCTTCCAAATGCAAGTGCTCTGGGGAAAATTTTCACTGCCTTACCTTTTGGTAACCCCATTTATCAGATGTTAGAATTAAAGCTCGCCATGTACATTGATTTCCCTTCACATATGAATCCTGGGATTCTGGTTACCTGTGCAGATGATATTGAACTTTATAGTGTTGGAGAATCTGAGTTTATTAGGTTTGACAAACCTGGCTTTACCGCTTTAGCTCATCCTTCTAGTTTGACTATAGGTACTACACATGGAGTTTTTGTTTTAGAACCTTGTAATTATTTAGAATATGGAGACCTTGAATACAGATGTTGCCATTGTTTCCTTCATAAGCCCAGCATAGAAAAGATGCATCAATTTGGTGCTGTGTGTAGACGTGGAAATTTTTCTCAACAGGCTTTTGTGAGGGACGATATTCCCTCTCTTAAAGTAGACCCTGAGTATGTCTACACAGACAGCCTATTTTATATGGATCAAAAATCAGCGAAAAAGTTACTTGCTTTTTATGAAAAGATAGGCACACTGAGCTGTGAAATAGATGCCTATGGAGACTTTCTGCAGGCTTTGGGACCTGGAGCAACTGTGGAGTATACCAGAAACACATCAAATGTCACTAAAGAAGAGTCCGAGTTGGTAGACGTGAGGCAGAGAATATTTCATCTTCTTAAGGGAACATCACTAAATGTTGTTGTTCTTAATAACTCCAAATTTTATCACATTGGAACAACTGAAGAATATTTGTTTCATTTTACTTCAGATAGCAGTTTGAAGTCAGAGCTTGGCTTACAGTCCTTAGCCTTTAGCATCTTTCCAGCAGTACCAGAATGCTCTGGCAACACGTCCTGTATCATTCAGAGTATACTGGATTCAAGATGTTCTGTGGCCCCTGGCTCAGTTGTGGAGTACTCCAGATTGGGGCCGGATGTTTCAGTTGGGGAAAACTGCATCATTAGTGGTTCTCATATCGTAACAACAGCTGTCCTGCCTGCATATTCTTTTGTGTGTTCCTTAAGCTTGAAGATGAATGGACACTTAAAGTATTCCACTATGGCATTTGGAGTGCAAGACAACTTGAAAAAGAATGTTAAAACATTGTCAGATATAAAGTTACTTCAATTCTTTGGAGTCTGTTTCCTGTCGTGCTTAGATATTTGGAATCTGAAAATTACAGAGGAGCTGTTCTCTGGAAACAAGACATGTTTGAGTTTGTGGAACGCTCGTATTTTCCCAGTTTGTTCATCTTTGAGTGATTCATTTACAACATCCCTGAAGATGTTAAATGCTGTGCAGAACAAGTCAACATTCAGCCTGAATAACTACAAATTGTTGTCCATTGAAGAAATGCTTGTTTACAAAGATGTAGAAGACATGATAACTTATAGGGAGCAAATTTTTCTAGAAATTACTTTGAATAGAAAATAGTCTGATTTAGAGACATCTTAAATATTGTATACTTTGCCTTTCATGATGGAGCAAGACTGCAAATATAGGGGTTTTCTGTAGATGTTTGTTTCATTGAAATGAATTAATGAAAATTAACATAATTGCTGTAGCATAACATCACACAAAAATACAGATAAGCTATTTTTTTATGAAATAAGTCTAAGTTCAGAAAAGGGGTTTTTTATGTTTATCACTATTTTTAATTCTTAATAAAGATGGACTTGTGGAGCATTGTTTTGTTCACACAATACTATAGTAGTTTTAAAGGTAATTTTCTAAACATACCTTTAGAGTTTTCCTATCTTCTTTTGGGCTTTGGTTCCAATAAAGTTCTAAGTTACTGGCAGTTCCTTCTCAAACATCATAGTCCTATTCTGATCAACTAATAAAAATGGCAACTATAGGATCTTCAGAGCACTGTAGGAATACTATAGAGATACCTTTTGGAGACAGATCTATAGCTGACCGATTCAGATTAGATCAATGCTTAAAATATTGTGATTATCTTAACTGATAAATAACTAGATACAGACAGCTCTGAAATTGATGATTAAAATTTATCTTATTTATTGATCTTATCAGCATGAAACACCAAGGGGATATGTGTTATTTTATCCTTATAAACTTGAACATGTGTTTGTATATCTTAAAGCTTTTCCCTAAAATTGCATCCATAGGAAAACAAACACACACACACCCTTCTCAAATATCTGTGTGGGGAATATGTTATGAATAATTGGATTCACTGATAATCATATAAGTTCATTTTGGACATTACTCTCATCCTTTCTTATTAATCCCTTTAACAGAACTGTTAAATTACCAAATGGACTGATTTTACTTTCCATTTCTTATTTCCTGTCCATGCACTGGTGATGCTGAGAAGCAATAAATGGCCAAAAAGTAGACAGCAGGAAGGAGCCAAAGAGTAGAAAGACTAAGAAAATACACAGGTGCTAAACAGCTTCGATAAAATAAATATTGGCTGGAATCCTAAGTTGTGTGTTCCTATTTTTCTATAAGCATGTGAAATTTCTTCATATCTAAGTCTAATAATAATTAGAGAAAAGATGTGTCAGAGTTTTGTGTTTCAACATGAATACATTGAAATAAGAACTAGTCTTTGCCACTTTTGTTTATATATTAACATGTCAATATGAAAGTAATTGTTTGGTAAACCAGAAGTAACTTGTCCTCAGCCCTCAATTATGATATTTGTGTGTGTTTCTTGTTTCAAGGTTCTTCCGAAAGAGAAAATGAAGGTGTATGGTAGCTATTGCTTAGCATTTACTGATTTACTTGCAGACCTTTCAGAAGATGTTATGTATTTGTCGTTCATTAAATGTTTAATACTGTATTTCACATAATCTAAAGTGCCATCAATTATTAAGAATCACCATTATTTTATGTTCCACTAAAAAAGAGAAAACACTACCAATAAAATATGATGCAATGCCTTCTTTGTTACTTGAAGTTTTTATTTATTGATGATTTCTTTTAAATGAACTTAAATATAGATTTTTATCGTTTAAGCCTCTTGTATATACATATAAAGAAACAAAAAAGTGAAATATTGAGGTGTAGTCAGTACTTTTCTAAAACTTCACATTCAGAATCAAACTCTTCTGAAGCATTTTTCAACTTAAAAGTTATATTTCCACCCAGTACCATCTTATGTGCTATCAAAGATATTGGTATCTGCATGTCCTAAGAATGACACCACCACAGTACTGTCTAGATTTTGCTCCAAGCTGTGGGCATTAGATACCTGTTCTGCAAGGTTTGATGCTGACGCTTTCATATTTGACAAAATTCCTTTTAATTTTTGCCTCAGTTTAATCGCAAAACTCTAATAGAGTGGTGGCTTCTATTCAGTCAGTAGGAAGTCTCTGACAAGTTGGCGGTCACCGTTTTAATCATACTCTTTACAGTGTGTAGATTCTAGTCACTGAAATGTTACGTGTTCTGAAGAACTTGAGTATCTCTTGCCTTAAGATGCGTTGCTTGGTGCGTAGTAGCACACATGTCCCACCAACAATGTACCTGACTCAACCAAAGTGATAATCACATGCAGGTACAAGTAAGAAACTGAACCATTTCTCTTGATATATCATTTTTACTTTATAAAATCCTAGCCCTTAAATCATATACTCTCAAAGTTTGTAAAAGACTCCTATTATTTGCAACTAAGTATATTCCACAAACTTATTGATGAGTGAACAATGACCAAGCAGAGCATGGAAAAAAATCCAATATTTGGTATTAATCTTCCACCTTAGACATTTAGTCTCCAAACTAAGTAAAACAGAAATAAAGACTGTATCAATATATACTTAGTTGAAATAAAACTTCAAAAATTCAGGTAATATGCTGAAAGTCACAAAAACTTGATGGTATGAATCCAAAATTAATTCCCACAACCTGTGGTGATCCATTAATTTTCTGAGGCTAAGCAATACTTCCCATGTTGTATAAAGATTATCAAATTCAGCATAAAGCCAAAATCAAAACTTTGCCTTCTGCAAAATGTACATATGGCTGTCACATACAGCTGATAACTGGTGTATTACACAAATTCAAGGATACCATTCACATACACCATGTTGTCCTCTGGACTCAAGTAACTTGGAGGCCCAGGATTTAGGTACCAGGATATAGTCTAGCAGAATTAAGAAGGAAAGAGAAAGCTGAAAAAAGAACATTATTAATTTGCTCAAAACCGTCCAGAGGATTTTCAGATGCTCTCTTTGTTCTTGTTTAGCTAAATAAAACACAAGTCTTCAGAACTAAATTATTCTTATTAAAGAAAAAAAGACCTTTTTAAATTTACTTGAAGGGTACTGTCTTTAATTCACTTAGTGCAAAAGAAATAATTGAATAGCCATTAGCTGCTTAGTTTAACTTAAATCTTTTGTGCCTCTAAAATTTTGTTTAGACAAAGCCAATTTCTGAGTGAGGAACACAACTTTAACTGTTTATACTTAATGAAATTGTACTTTTAACATTCCTTGTCTTGAACTTTGTCAGAGGTTACTGCACATTCTCCTTCCCTCCAATACCAATGTGCTGAACTCAGTATAATGTACTAGTGGTCTTCATGCTCCCATTTGTCTATATTCACAGAAATTTCTTAGTTTTTTTTTTTTTTTTTTTTTTGTGAGGAAGATTAGCCCTGGGCTAACATCCACTGCCAATCCTCCTCTTTTTGCTGAGGAAGACTGGCCCAGAGGTAACATCTGTGCCCCTCTTCCTCCACTTTATATGTGGGACGCCTGCCACAGCATGTCTTGATAAGCAGTGTGTAGGTCCATACCCGGGATCCGAACAGGAGAACCCTAGGCTGCCAAAGCAGAGTGCGAACTCAAGTGCCATGTTACCAGGCAGGCCCCTGTTTTTTGTTTTTTTGGAGGGCAAATTACACCAGTCTCTGGTAGGAAAGTGCCAGTTTCTGTACCTGGTAGAGCTATCTACATGAGCCACAACAAACCAAACTTGCACGTCATTCAAACGTGCCAGTTTGGCTGTAGTCTAGTAGACCACAATTTAGGGTCAAGTTAAAAATTGGAATAAAGGGATAATTAAAGTCGCTGATTCCCTACTGCCCTGATATTTGCAAGAACAGGAGGTGAAGGAGGAAGATGCTTGTGAATTAGTTGCTGTTATCATTCACCTGTAAAGCAGCTTGATTATTGACATTTGTCTAAAGATGTTTCTCCCAAGGGCATTATTGCCCATGCAAGTAAATGGTTGAAACTAACAGAGTTAGTGTTTCCTTCTGGGCGGTTGGACAAATAGTCTATCTTTTGAAGCCTCTGGCTACAGAAATCTAGTAGCCTTCCAAAGTATGAAATTCAACATTCAAACAGAGCAATTCATCTCTGATTGCTGCAGACTGGTGTAATCCATCTGCTACTGTCATTTCCTAGTTCTCTGTGCCAGAATTATATTCCTTCAATTGTGCTTCAATTCATTGCTGAAACAATCTAAACTCCAAAGTCTATATTCTTTGGGCACTGTTTTATGGGTGTTACCCATCTACTTGTTGAATCTCAAGCCTCCTTACAGGCTCTTAAAATGCTTGCTACAACCAACACTTTGTGGTTAAGTAATGTGAATGGTTTTTTAAAATTTCTTTTCTTCACTGGTATCCACTCTTTGTCTCTGCAGAACATTCGGATGGTTCAAGTTAGTTTTCATTTACCACTTCATTGTAGGAGAGTATCACATTGCCCGGAAAAGAATTAAAGCATTTACATCTTGAGGCAAAAATCTTTTAAAACGCAACTCTGGAAATCAAGTAAGTGTTCATTTCATTTGCAGATTGAGAAATGTTGCTCTACTCAAATGAATTTCTACATGATTGGTTTCTTATTATTTTTAGCCTTGGGGTTTGAGAAAGTAAATTATATCTACCAATATGCTGTTCTTCAGAGAAGTTTCAAACATTTTTAATAAAATCTAGAACTAGAAAACTTTTAATACACAAAGAAATAATTATGATTATAACAAGTAGTTCAAGTGCAGATTTTAAATGTATGGGCACACTGACAAGGTCATAAATTAACATAAAACTCACTACTTGTATAACACTGTGATCAATTTTTAATGAAATTTAGTAAGAAAGATCATCACTCATTATAATTGGTTAAAGTTAATAGAGTTTCTACTTAACCATTATCTAGTCAAATCAAAAGCTGTCTATGGAAGCTAGCCTATGAGAAGGAAGGGAGAAAGCTAGAGTTTTAGAGAAATTCTATTTTGTTACAACTACTGATGTTTAAATACAAAAATGTTTGCCATGAGTTCAGTAGAGAAAGAGCCATTTGCTAAATTATCCATGTTTCTTGTATCTTCAGTGTCTCTACAAACATGCTACAATTTCCTAAAACATAAAAATGAAGAAATAAGCAACAACAAAAACAAAACTTATTTTAGCCATATCATTTCATCAGCATACAGCATATTTTATGTTTCATTTA